CTTTGACAATCAAGCAGTTTGTGGAGACCTCTTGGTGGAGAAAAAGAGGTCTTGCACCGACAGCCCACAACTACTTGACAGTCCCATGAGTGTGCCACCTAAGAAGGAGATCACCCTGCCCATCAAGTCTTCAGTCGCTACAGTCCTGGTCTACGTCTTGACTGGAACTTCAGAACTTAGATAACAAGAAATTTAAATTCTAATATCATCTCAAACAAAAAATGTGGTAGAGCTTAGTGTATTCTAGGAGCACAGATTACCAGGCTACCTAACTAGATCCTTGAATTGCCAGTGTTTACTGTTGCTGTTTATTTTAAAACCAAACAAGCAGAATTAAGTTAGGTGAAACTAAAATTTTCTTGTTGGAGTCTGAGTTCAGGTAGGGAGAAAATGCCCATCAAGACCTTTATGTTATATACATATACTAATCATGTATCAACTAATAATATCTAATTCATGCTAGCTCTCCTGAACCTACACAGCCAAGTTACCGGGCTTTTGGAAACTCCTCTACCTGAGATTCTGCTAAAGTTCAGACTTTAAAGCCATTGAACTTAATTTCAGAACATACAAAAAGTATATTCAACCAATGGATTTGCTTATACTGCTAGTGGTACCATATTCATGTCCAAAAAGTTAGCTTAGCCAGGTTTTTGCCATTTGATTAATTTCTAACTTGGAACCAGAGAAAGTGACTGACCAGTTATAATTACACATCTACTTGCATAAGTTCATCTCTTTCAAAGGAGCAGGGTGTATTACTCAGGTCAACATATTTTAATTGCTTCTTATTGAAATAGATAATAAGGTGAATTAGTTGATGGTCAAGGTTTACATGAATAATAGCATCACAAAAACTCTTGGATATTTCTTTTTATTTCCTGTTATTTAGAAACAAAATACTTGAGTCAGCATGTTTCTATATTAATTACACATACAGTTTACCCACTCTGTCTACTCCAGAAATATAAAACAAGAAGTTTCAACTTAATTGCAAGGGAGGAGGGGACTGGAAGAATGGAAGGGAACTGCCAGAGGAAGAAACTGTGAAATGCATTTCTTGCAAGTTCAAAAAAGGTTCTGTGCTTCCCTCTTTAGGTCAACTGAATTAACAGTGATGCTTTCCTTCAAAGTAAAGATGAAATAAGGCAAAACTCCTAAATTTGGGGGAACATGTTTAGAAAGTGAAAAGCAGAGGGTAATATGCTTCATTTCTAGTTTCCATTTTATTGTCTTACTTTTCTTTGCACATGGTGACTTACAACTCATCAGTATACACAGGATTTATTTGCCACCCCACCCCTCCTGGTTTTTAATTATAATATTTTTCCTTCCTTATTTTGATTTCAGATATTTTGGAAAGAATAATCAGATGTCCCACACACCTTAGTGTAATTAACCTACTGGAAAACCTTGAGTATACCAGGTGTAGATGAAGAAGGAGCAAGGCAGATAGGGAGTGGGAAGGAAAAAACAGAGCAAGCTCAGGAAGGAGGGGCTGAAACATATCTGTCTACCTTGGTCTTACCCTGATTCTCAACGTCTACTCTCAACATGTACTCTCACTGATCTCTATTTACACATTAGATGACATAGGGGATTTAATGAAATGTTTTCAGACTTCAGATTATACAGCCTGACAGCTTACTTTTATTAACCAGCCTGTAAAATCTGTTTGATGGCTAAAATGTGGCCTATCTCATAAAAATGGAGTTTTACCATATGCTGTGTTTGCTAATGCAAAATAGATTGTTATATATTAGAACGTCTTTGGCTAACAATTGAGGCTAAAGGCATTCTGATGAGCTGAAACTTTACTATGTTGTTGTCAAAACATCAATATGGACAATTAAACTGCTGAATAATGTACTGAAACACAGAATGGGCTACAAAACATATAGGAACTTTTAACAATGTGCAATGCCTGACTCATCTAAATGTTAATAGTTCTGAATTAATTATGTAGTTAACCTATGTATGCATATTCACATAGACACTGTTTTAGTGCACCTTAGATTTTCATCCAACTATTATTTATTGAGCACCTACTACATGCCAGGCTTGTGTTATGAACTGACACATAGTCAATATAGTTATTTTTTTTCCCAAAGAACTATAAATTTAAAATGTCATTAGTAAGGCCACCTATTCGACTAAAATGCAACAAAACATTTTAACCTTCAAAATATATGTGAAGTATGCTGAAGAGTTCAATACGGAAAATATTGTTATGTAAAATTTTACCAAAATCCCCAGTTACATTTACTCAAGGATTAATAAAATTTAAGTGGTCAAGTTAATTATCCATTTTCTGTAATATTTGGCTTATACAGTATTACAATACAAAGAAGCAATAAATGTTTCAAAATTCATTGAGTTTTGTTTCATTCAAGCAAAAGGGGAGGACAATGAAACACAAAGATGCTGACCTCTTGGAATGTTCCCAAGATTACACCGCAAAAGATCACAAATCGAAGTTTACTCCACTGCCCTTTTCACTATACCGTTGAGTTGAGGTTATCTGATAAAGTTTTTAATTTACTTACTCAACAAGTAGTTTTTGAGTAGCTTCTATTTTCTAGTCATCATTCTAGGTAATATAGATACATTGGTAAATATCATAGACAAAGAATTTACATTGTGGTGAGGAAGGCACATAAGAAGCAATCAAGTGAACAAGCATAAATAAACAAATAAAAGGTAATCAGTTGTTATGCAAAGGATTAAAATAAAGTATTCCTGATGGCAACTATAGATACTGTCATCATAGAAATCCTCTCTGAGAAGGCTGCATTAGCTGAGTCCTACATGACTACTTTATAAAACTTGGTGAAAAAAGAAGTCCAGGCAGTAGATCAACTGGCAAAACAAACAAACCAACAAATGAACAAACAAACAAAAAACTCTAATGCAGGAATAAACTTTGTGGTTAGGACAAGAAAGGAATTAAAAATAACCCCTACATGCTTGACTCAAACAACCAGATGAATGATAGTCACAATAATTGCAATAGGGAACAGCAGGGGAAAGGTAGCTTTTGACAAAGTTGAAGAGTTCTATATTGACTCTACAGAGTTTGAGATGTCTGATAGACATTCAAGGAAGGTGTGAGAATGTAGAGGATAAGCCTAGAGGAGTAAATGCTATCTGAAAAAAAAAATTTTTTTTTGCTTAGTGGGCTGGTGGCTCCTTTCTGATTTAAGAGAGTTTTTGGACCCCCAAGGGACAATGAAAGCAGAGGGGCATAAAAGAATATGCCTGATAGGAGGCAGAGAAAGAGGTAGAGGTAGGAAGGGCTGGGTCATTAACACATGGGAGAAAGACCACCTCATTGGAGGATGAAGAGTTTGCTAAGCAGTTCTGGTGTAATTTTAAAGATTAGAAAAACCTCTCCTGATTTATCTAATAGAAGACCCTGAATTTGCCAGTAAGTTACATATTTAATTTAATGTGTACCCTTTTATTAAAATAACTTCTGATGTTCCCTGTGCAACCTGGTGCAGCAAGCTCACATTAGCAAAGCTATTAAACAATAGCACAATGAGCATGATCTTTCAAGCACTCTTACCCTCCTAATCTTTAATACTGCAGTCAAAATGCTTTTTCTAAGTTGCAAATCTGAACAAGACATTCCTCTGCTGAAAATCCTTTATGATACTTTGTTTCCCTTAGCAGAGAGTCAAATGCCTCACCATGATCCTCAAGGCCCGGTATGCTGGTCCCTGCCAATTTCTCCAGACTCACTTGATGCTACCTCTTCTTCATCAGGCCCACTATGTTCTCTATTCTCAAATAGATCTTGTACTCACTCTAATTGCTAATTCTCTGTCCTCTACCAAAACCTCTCTTGCTTCTACTTCTCCTTTGTCAAGATAACAATTTCTGAGAGGAAACTCCTCTAGAAAACCTGCCTTGTCCCTTGGCCCCAAGTCTGATTGAGGTGCTTCTCTTGCCATTATTAGTTCTCACCATTCCATATTGCAACTGTCTGCATACTTGTAGCTGTTCTCCATAATCAAGATGAGGGCAGGGACCATGGCTGTCTTGTTCTCCACATTCGGTGTACCAATGAGCATTTAGTGTCTATGGGCTCAATATATATTTCTTTAATAATTTGTAAATAAATTTTGTTATTTGCTAGAGGATAGAAACCTGTTTTATGGATCTATCTCCAACTCTAAACACGTGTGGGTGCTCAAAGACTATTTACAGAATTGTTTAACTTAGAGTTGTATTTCTCTTTCTCTACATTGTATAATTTCAACTTACTGTGAGTAAAGTTTCTGGTAAAGAGCCTTTGGATTATCCTGTGCAGACTTTGGTCAGATTTTAACTGCCTACCTGTGGGTATTGATTTCCAAGTCTATGTAGACAAATATTTGGACTCAGCTTCTCATTCATACCCTCAATATGTTCTGTTTTGGTAAATAAAGTGGCATAAAGTATTCTTGCATCTGAGCATTATCCTGTAAGTGAAATATTCATTATGATCCTGCAACTTAGACTACCTGATTAAAAATGTACACACTTTAAGGCTTTTAAATACTTTGAGGGCTTTATCTTCCTACAATGTGCAAATAAGTTTTAGAACTAAACAGATCAATACTTTAATGTATCAGTTATTTGCATTTAAAGCCAAGAACGTAAAATCACCATTTAACTAAAAACATATGCTGAGACAGGGTGTTGCTATATTGTCCAGGATAGAGTGCAGTTGCATGATTATGGCACACTGCAGCCTTGACCTCCTAGGCTCAAACAATCTTCTCACCTCAGCTTCCCAAGTCCTAAAGACTACAAATGCACACCACTGTGCCTGAATACTTTTTTCTTCTTTTTTTGTAGAAATGGGGTCTTGCTATGCTGCACAGCCTAATCTCAAACTTCTGGCCTCAAGCTATCTTCCCACCTCAGCTTCTCAAAGTGCTGGGATTATAGACACGAGTCACCATACCTGGCCTAAAACACATATTCTAACAGGTATAAATATTTGTATTTACCTTCTAATGCATATTTCATATCCAGAGCAAAAAGAGTCCACATAATTTCAGCACTTAATTTTCCCATGTTCAGTTCTTGGGGAAACCTAAAACAAACATACTTTATTAGTGTTTCAAAAAAGATATGCCTAAAAAACAAAATACCTCATTTTACATATATATCACAGTAGTTATTACATAGTTCATAAATATTTTAATGAAATTTCTCTTTATTATTTTCACAGGTAGAAAACGAATTATGATTATGCTAAATGAGAGAAGTCAGACTCAAAGTCTACAGACTTTATGATTCCATTTATAATACATTATTGCAAAGGCAGAAATTTCAGGACAGAATACTTATCGGTGGTTGCCAGGGGACTGGGATAGGAGAGGGGTTGACTATAAAATAATATAATGAAACTTTGGGGTGATAAAATAATTTACATTTTAAGTTTAGTAATAATCATATGACGATGTGTTTTTCTCCTATGTCATCAATTTCTGCGCTTTGTTATTCCCTATCTTTTACTTTCTCTGGGTTTAAAGTGTTGTTCCTTCTATCTTCTCAAGAAAGATACTTACATAATTCATTGTTGGCCTTACTTCCTTTCTAACTGTATTTAAGGTATACATTTCTTTTAGGAATCTCTTTTAGCTATATTCTATACAATTGATATATAATACTTTTTGTTATTTCAACAAAAATATTTTATAATTTTACTTTCCACTATTTTACTTCTAACTGTACAGAAATCCCTTAAGTATATTTTAGTTGCTGTTTTCTGCCATAATTAGACTAAAGTCAAAGGATATAGTCTAAATAATTTCAATCCTTTAAAATTTGTTGAGATTTGCTTTACAGCCCAGTGTGTGGCTAATTCTTATAAATATTTTGTTATTTATTTCTCACCTTTTGTTTCCTTGAGCCTCAATCTGGATATTTTCTTCTGCATTATCTTCATGTTTACTAATTCTCTCTTCAGTTATGTCTAACCCTACTCTTAAAGTACATATATTGACTTATTAATTTAATCTGTTCTACCTTTCTGCTCTAGAATCTCCATTTAATTCTTTTAGGAGTTTTGAGTTTATGGCTGATATTCTCCATTTTGTTAATTTCTTAACATGATTAATTATAATTATTATAACATCTGTCTCTAAATTTCATTATATTAATCTCTTATAATGCCTAGCTACCTAGTTATTTTTGACTAAATAAAACATGTTTTGCATTTGAAAACAGCATACATATAATTTGTTTCTCTGGATGATGGTAGTTCTTCCAAGAAGGATTTATTTTTCTTCTGATGGTAGTGTTTTTGGGGTGGAGAGATGATTAGGAACTGAACCCATTCAAAGCAGGTCAGCTTTTTTTTACACTTACTCCTAGAATCTAGACTTTTGCAGCCCCAGCTGTGTGATTGCAGTGTTCACCAGGATTCACTACTTTGTAAGTTTTTAATTTCAATTAAGAGACAGAATAAACTTTGCTTCTCAGTTTTCAGCTCTTTCTGTGGAGCGTCCCATGCTGTCAGTCTTTGCTTTCAATATAACTGATGCCTCAAGGGGAGGGAATTGGAACATATCTGATATGCTTTTCCAATGTAAACATGCAGACACCATAAAGTTATACAAAATTCATGGGAATACAAAATATATAAAAATTATGCTAGTAGTTATGTTCAAGCAAGAAGTAAAGGGAATTGTATTTAGGGAGATATATGTGTGCATAAGTCATCAATTATATTTGTAATGCTTTATTTATTTTATAAAAAATTATAAATTCACAAGTAATAAAAGATAACAATGCAAATAACTTCTGAGGCCATTTGTTTATACGTTTTTTAATAAGTAGCTATTAATCAAATACAATGCGTTATGCATCATGTTAAAGGCAGATAATATACTGCTAAATAAAACAGACGTTGTGTCTGCCCTTCTAAAGTTTACAATCCAGTAGGACTGGCAATACACTCATAAGCAAACACACACACGCATATTGCAAAAGGTCCTATGATGGAAACTACAGGGTAAAAGATGTGGTTGGAGAAAATGGTTTTTCTATATCAAGAGTTAGATAAACAATAACTACTCACCATTGGCTCTCACTGATCATGACAGTAATTATTCTCAATGGAGGATGACTACTTTGGCCCCTATAGAAATGGGAAGTAGCAGCATGTGTGATTTTGATAACTAGGGATTCAGAACTTTAGGGGTTAGGCACCAGCAGTGTTCAGAAAATTGGGTATATGCTGAAGTGATAATGTCCACTTTAATATCAAAGGGGATCAGAAAAAGATAAGCACAGAAAACAAAAATATGAAGAAGAAAAATGGAGAATGAAGAATGTCAACTATATTTGAAGAGATACTGAGGAACTAGACCAAAGAACATGAGCAAAAAGAGACAAATATATACTAAGGTGCAGTTTTCCTACTCTATTTTCTCCTCTTGAGTTGGTGTGACTTCAAGGAACATGGTATACCATTAAAAGAGACATATTAGATGCAGAAGAATTACTGGTGCAGTCATTTACAGAAGTTAGCTAAAGAAAGTAAGATTTGTGTATACTTTTGAAAGATCTTCATTGGTGGACAGAATAAACTTTGCTCCCCAGTTAGTGGTTGTAATTATCGTAAGAAGAAACTCTAAAAGTAATTTCTAAAATATATTTTTCTTTAATTTGGAAGCTTCAACTAGATAAATTTAAAACACAGAGTCTAAACTTAAGATATGGAGAAGCACTGTCAAGTTTGGTTTTCATTCTTCAAAACGATGTGGTTTAAAGGCAAAACGATGTGGTCTAAAAGGCAAAACCGAAACTACCATTTAGAATAAAAACAACCCACACCGGAAAAATATATACAATGTATATATATGGAAAAGTAATAATATTATTAATATGAAAAGAACTGTTACAAAGTTATAGGAAAAAATGGCTGAGATGAATGGGCAATTTAAAATGAAAAAACACAAAAGTCTAACAAACATAGGAAAAAAGATGTTTACCGTCTCTAGTACGCAAAGAAATTTCAACTGGAATAAGAGTGAAGCTTTTTTACTTTATAGACTGGAAAGCATAAAAATGTGATGAAAATTCAAGCTTTTTTGAATCTGATTTCCTCCTAGTTATCTAATGACTTTCTACAGGTCTCCAGTTCTTATGCTTTACCAACACCCGTGTTGCCCTCACCCCTCTTTTCTGCTCTGTGCCTTAGGAGTCTCCCCATTGGCTGCATGATCCAGATGTCATATGATACTGCAAAATAATATGCAGCTATTAAAATGAACAAGGTATATGCTGAAGTGAAAATGTACAAGGTAGGCCTGCTTGAATTGACATAAGATATCTATCAGGCAGTGTTAGATGAACAAAGTAACTTACAGACTAATATACATGATATAATCCTATATTTTAGGTTAAATACACAAAATAAAAATAAACAGTAAATGAATATCTATGCTTATATGTAAAGAAGTATTTAGCTGGAAAGAAACACACTGTACTGAAAATCTGTAAGGCTTAGGTTAGGTGAGTAATATTTTTAGTTTTTATTGATTTTCTTCACAGATATGATACCTAAGCATTAGAATTTTTATTTTCTACTTCAGACAGTCATGTAAAACTGAATATAATTATTTTTCTAAACATAAAAAGTTTTAGAAACTCTATTTTGAAGAAAATCCATAGGCATTTTACTATATATACATATAATTTATTCTGAGAGACAAATAATATTTATTTATTTATCATAAAATCTCTAGTTATTATTCCCATTTTACAAATGAGGAATTGGTGGTCAAGATTTGAGCCCTGTGATCTCTCTGCTTAAAAACCAGCAAATATTCAATGAGTTTTTGTTTTGTTTTATACTTTGAGGAGATGTAAAGGAAACTTTGACAACACTCATTTTAGACTCAAGAACATTAAAGCTTAGGAAATATGTACTGATGAAACATGAAACAAATCAATGACTGGATCAGAAATAGAAATATGGGTTCTTGACCATATTTCTTTTATATCCCTATTTTTACATACAATTTTTAAAAGTCCCCTAACATTGAAAATGTCTTCGCAGCTATTTTTTCTCTATTTTTGTACTAGTTTATTGGTTTTTCCTTAAAATATTTACAGTTCAAATGATTGACTTAATATTTTAAGTAGTAAACCTGTTTCAAATTTAAATCTCAAGATCTACTTCTTTTTTTTTTTTTTTTTTTGGTTGGAGTCTCACTCTGTCGCCCAGCC